TGGATCCTACAGGACACCTACAATAATAGGCCACCCTACAAAACCTAGGAGACATAGCAACTCTACCTAACACACAGAACAATCACAGGGAAGTAGCCAAAATGAGGAAACAAAGAAACATGTACCAAATGAAAAAAAAAGAATAAAACTCCAGGAAACGAACTAAACAAAATGGAGATAAGCAATGAATCAGATCTAGAGTTCAAAACACTGGTTATAAGGTTGTTCAAGGAACTTAAGGAGACCTCCAAGGAACTTAGAACATCAACAACACAAAAAAGGAGCAGTCAGAAACAAAGGATGCACTACTAACTGAAACATAGAATAATTTACAGGGAATCAATAGTAGAGTAAAAAAAGGCAAGAAGCAAATCACCGATTTGGAATATAAGGAAGCAAAAAACACCCAATCAAAACAGCAAAAAGAAAAAAGAATCCCAAAAAATGAGGATAGTGTAAGGAGTCTCTGGGACAACGTCAAGTGTGCCAACATTCGCATCAAAGGGGTACCGGAAGGAGAAGAAAGAGAACAAGAAATTGAAAACCTATTTGAAACAATAATGACAGAAAATGTCCCTAACCTGGTGAAGGAAACGGACTTCCATGTCCAGGAAGCACAGAGAGTCCCAAACAAGATGAACCCAAAGAGGTCACTAAAATGGCAATAAATACATATCTATCATCAACAGAATTTATAAATAAAATGAGCAAGCAGAACAGAAACAGACTCATAGATACAGAGAACGTTTTGGGGCTGGGGGAATTGGGGGAAGATGAAGAAATTAAGAAGTACAAATTGATTGTTAGACTGATGAACCTCAAAGGGAAGGGGGAGGAAGCGCAGGAAGAGATAAACCAAAGAACCTCCATGCATATGTGTATAACCAATGGACACAAACAATAGTGTGAGGAAGGCAGGAGGGGGGCAAGATTGGGAAGGAGGGCGTCAATGGGAGAAAAAAGGGGGACATCTGTAATACATTCAACAATAAAGATAAATTTAAAATAATAATTAAAAGTAATAAAAAATAATATTGAATATGTCTCAATTTCTTCATTAGTAAGTTAATATTTCAGGTATTTAATTATTCAAATTACAAACATGCTTTAAATTATTCACCTTTCATAAAACAAATTAGTTACTAACTGAACTGCGTAATTTTCAGTTATTTTTTATAAAATGATGTAAATTATACATGTGAAATTAATTAGGAACTGTATAACTTCTACTTTCTATGCATAATTAAATACTGATAACCTTCAGTGGGATTTCCTTATTTGGGGAATTTTTAAACAAGGCTATATATACAGAGTTTTAAAAAATTTTTTTCTTTATTGATTTTCACAGAGAGAGGGAGAGGGACGGTTAGAAACATCGATGAGAGAGAACATCGATTGGCCACTTCCTGCATGTGCCACACTGGGGATTGAGCCCACAACCTCGGCATATGCCCTGACCAGGAATTGAACCAGCGACCACCTGGTTCGTGGGTCAACGCTCAACTACTGAGCCACACTTACCGGGCAAGAGAGAGTTTTTTAAACAAAATATTATCCTACATGGTGAATTTCTAAGGGTTTAGATTATCCACTGTCTTTTAGTACCTAACTCTTCAGAATTACTTCCATTCTTCTATTATTTTATAATCATTCTTTCCTATCTCCTTTACTTGCTACTTGAACACCTAGCCCAGTAAGTTCTAACCAGCGCCTCGGAGGACTGGAGAAAGAAAAACTACTTTTTCATTTATATTGCCTTTTGACTCTCGTGATCAAGAGGTCTTCTAAGTCACAATTAACTGAAAACAGTCAGTATTGTCTGTTTTCAGTAGCTGACAGAAGAGATGGGATTGGCTTAAAAGAATTTTAGTTTAAAAGTTTATAAGAATTTTAGTTTGAATAATGTTCTATAAACCTTTTTAAAAACTTAACAGAAATGGACACAAAATCAAGGGCATAGTAAATAGCATTCATTCTTACCCATAATGCTATATGGACTTGAAAGTAGTTGTGTGTACTTGTACAAGTATTCAGTAAAAATTAAATGTTCTGATATCTACATTTTCTTGAGAATATTTCACGTTAATTTAGCTCCTAAATCAGTTTGAAGATTAAATTTTCAGTTAGCATTTTTTAAATATGCTTCAAAAGATGCCCGGCTAGTGGGGCTCAGTGGATTGAGCGGTCCCAGTTCGATTCCTGGTTGGGGCACATGCCTGGGTTGCAGGCTCAATCCTCAGTAGCAGGTGTGCAGGAGGCAACCAATACATGTTTCTCTCTCACAGTCATGTTTCTATCTCTTTCCCTCCCTCTCTCTCTAAAAAAATAAATAAAAACATATTTAAAAATATATAAATATGGTTCAAAATATAACAGCAAGAAAGCTAGAGATGAAAATTCTTAAAATTTGCTATCCTTAATACGGGTATACCTCAGAGCTATTACAAGTTCAGTTCCAGACCACTATAAAAAGCAAGCATCACAATAAAATGAGTTACATGAATTTTCTGGTTTCCCAGTTCATATAACAGTGACGTTTACACTATACTGCAGTATGGTAAGTGTGCAACACCATTATGTCTACAAATATACATACCTTAGTTAAAAAGTACTTTATTGTTAAAAAAAAAAAAAATACCAATCATCGTCTAAGCCTTTTGGAAAATGGTACCAACAGACTTGCTAGACCAGGGTTGCCACAAACCTTCAATTTTTTAATTATAAAAAAGCAATAAAGTGAAGTGCAATAAAACAAGGCATGCCTGTACTTCCTTATGGATATGGTGAGTGTGGTATAAATTAGTATACTACTTAATACTACATTGTCCTTTTAGTAAAAAAAGGTGTCTGATACTAAATCTTCGTAAGTCTGTCTTGTATTTCAAAATGTTTGACATTTAGAGAATGGGTTATTACTTTGTTTTTGTTTTTAAGTATTTCTTCCCAATACATAGTTGACAGAGTCAATGGAGTTCCCATTCTTAGATTCAAATTTGGAATAATTTGGGGCACAGACTGAGGTAAATAGCAGAGCCAACAGAATAGAAAGAAAAAAGCAAATACAAATCAAGTATTATTTTTGAGACTCTCAGAAGAATAAAGAATCCAAATGGAAGATAGCTCAGAAATCATCAAATCAGTCCTATCATTTTATAGATAAGAAAAATGTATAGTTCAAAGAAGCCAAATGCAGTCTGATACTGTATTTCTTACAATAAAGTCTTTAAGAGATTAAAAGAGGGAGGAGGGAGGAGGAGGAGGAGAAGAGGAAGAGAAGAAGGAGAAAGAGGAGGTGGAGGAGGAGGAGGAGGAGGAGAAGGAGGAGGAGGAGGAGGAGGAGGAGGAGGGGAGGAGGAGGAGGAAGAAGTCGTCAAAGTCAAATGTCACATGTCACATGAGGGGGAGAGGGGAGGGGAAAGGAAGAGGGGGAAGAAGGAGGGAGAGGAGGAGGAGAAGGAAGAGGAAGAAAAGGAGGAGGAGGAGGAGAAGGAGAAGTAGTCAAATGTCACACAAGTCAACTGAAGAATCAAGTTGAAAACTGGATTCCCCTACCTTCTTCCCTCCCAATCCTACTCAGTGTTCATTCCCACTAAAATGGAGAAAAGAGCTAGAGTATCAGAAGGCTGAAAAGTGATATGGTTCTTACCCAGGAAACAGAAAAAAGATATTGATGAGGAAAGAAATCAAATAGCTCAGATATATGACATCAACTAACTCTGAACCATTCTACCAGACAACCCTTATGACAATTCTTGACATGCAGTACCATTCCAAAAGCATGTGATCTTATCTTTGACTTGACTGAACCTCCACTTCTTTGCTTCTTCAATTCTCCAAAACTAGTATTTTTGCCCAAATTGTAAAAAACAAATTCTGGTCTCAAGATAACTTAAGAACCTTCTAGTTCCCTCTAAATACATAATATTTTTAATAAAGCATAATTATAATAAATTCTAAGTACCAAACATTTGTAAAACAAACACCCGAAGTATTTTAGAGCAAGGGTTTGCAAACTATAGCCTACATGTCAAATCTGGCCCAAGTCTGCATTTATATGGCCCACAAGCTAAGAATGGTCTTTACATTTTTAAATCGTTATTTGAAAACAAACAAAGGGGCCCTGGCCAATCTTGCTCAGTGGTTAGAGCACTGGCCCATAGACTGAAGAGTTGTGGGTTCAATTCCAGTCAAGGACACATACCTTGGTTGAGGTTCGGTCCTCAGCCCTGGCTGTGGTCATGAGGGAGACAACTAATTCATGTGTCTCTCTCACATTGATGTTTGTCTTTCTCTCTCTCTCTCCCCCTCCCTCACACTCTATCTGAAGATGAAAAAATATCCTTGGTTAATGATTAAAAAGAAGAGCCCGGCCAATGTGGTTCAGTGGTTGAGCCTCAACCCATGCACCAAGAGGTCACTGGTTTGATTCCCAGTCAGGGCACATGCCTAGGTTGTGGGCCAAATCCCCAGTGGGAGTCATGTGAGAGGCAACGAATCAATGCGTCTCTCTCACATCAATGTTCTCCCCCACCTTCCTCCCACTCTAAAAATCAATGGAAAAATCCTCAGGTGAGAATTTAAAGAAAAAATAGTAACTTACTTCCCTATCAAAATCATGGAGAAGATAACACTCCACAAAAAGATATGGTGTGGCTTAGTTAGTTGCAGCATTGTCCCATACACTGAAAGGTCTTGGGTTCGATTCCCAGTCTAGGCACAAACCCAGGTTGTGGGTTCAATACCCAGTCAGGGTGCCTCATGCTGGAGGCAACCAATTGATGTTTCACTCTCACATTCACATTTCCCTCTCTCTCTCAAATCAATAAAAGCATGTCCTTGAATGAGGATTCAAAAAAAGAGATAGAAACAAAAAATAATGAGTTTGTATTTTCTAAATCATACATGTGAGTTAGCTCACATGATAAAGATTGCCAGCAGCACAGATTGCCTGTGTTTACTAAGTATTCCTCAAAACAAATAGAAAAATAGTATGGTCTCACTTGTGAAATATGATTGATTGACGATTCCATTCTTCGTAGCTGGGATGCCTGGATATCCAGCATCTGCAGTACATTGTTGGCCAAGGTATTTATCAGATAGGCAACACTTGCTAAGGACTGGGTAGTGTAGGCTTTGGTTTCTTCTAGGGCTCGCTGCTTATCTGCTGACTAGGAAAAAAAAACAATCATTAATTCAAAAATAACCCATTTTATCAATCTAATCAACAATACCATTCATCAAAACAATTCTGTTGCTAAACCTACACACACTAGCAAAAAATGTTCTGAAAACTAATTATCAGTATCATGTAAAACCAACAACTAAACTACTAAGTTCACTAATATTTTAATGTTGAATAAATACATCTTTTTACAAGTACGAATACAATCCTGAAGCCATTATTTAAAATATGAGATCCAGTGGATATTTTGAGCAATAGCAGCAAGTATATAGCTTCTAAAGTCACTGTTTAGAAAGGTAGCATTGATTTGAATGTAAAAATTCTGGCCTACTTTTTCTATTGTCCTGAATTCCTCCTCTCCTTCCATACTAACATGTGAGATGTGGGTATAATGTAATGTCTGAATACAGTAATAATAATATGATAATGATAAATAAAATGATAAAGTAAATATAAATGGTACTAATCATAATAAATAAAAATAAAAATAATGAAATGACTCTTTCTTCCCAAGCATTTTAAGTGTTATAACTCTATGAGACATAAATTGTCAAGTCCTAAAAATCTACATGAATAGCAGAGTACACAGTAAAAAGTGATTATTTCCAAGGTCCCAGTGCAAAGCAATAATAAAGATACATATGCGATGCTGCTAACTGCCAAACACCATCTTCTTTCCCCAGTTCTGTAGAAAGCTATGGTTCAGCAGAAAGTACACAAGCCTCTGAATCAGATACCTTTTTTCTTTTTTTTTAATTTTTTTTTTTTTTAATCCTCACCGGAGGGCATTTTTCCATTTTCTGTTCAGGTAGAGTGGGAGGGAGAGAGAGGAACAGAGAGAGAGAGAAACATCGATGTGAAAGGGACACATCGAGTGGCTGCCACCCGCACAACCGACCAGGGCCGGGGACAAACTGCAACCGAGGTACGCGCCCTTAGCGGGAACCGAACCCGGGTCTCTCAGGACCGCAGGCCGACGCTCTAACCGCTGAACCAAACCGGCCAGGGCAGATACCTTTTTTCTTAATGTCAGCTCTACTATTTACTAAAACATATCAACTTAAACAAGAGACAGTTTCTCAATCTCCTCAATTACAAAGCAGAGGAAACAAACTTCTGTATCAATTATTCTAAGTAGCTGTGAAACTCAAATAAGATAATGACTGTAAAACCACTTTCTAAATCTACAAATCATTATATATAATAGTCATTATCTCTTTGAATGGTCACTAACTTTTCAAAGTCCATTATATCCCAGTTTCCTCTCTCCCACACACTACAAGAGTCAATCAACAACCCCCTAGACATAAGTTTTGCCAGGGAGAAAAATTCTTTTGAAGCAGCAGTTAACAAAATAATCAAATGATATCACTTTAACTTGAAAAGAGTTAAAAATCACTGTATTAACTTTTTTTCTTTTCTAGTCTAATCAATAATCTCAGTCTTATCAATGCTTGAATTAACAAAGAGTTGCAATCAAATTTGGTTGAGGATAAATACTTTCAAAAAACACCATACAGATTCTGGTTGTGCATGTAGAAAACCTGGAAGTCCTCACTCCATTCTAACAAGTAAAAAGCTGAAAATACTGGGGAAAAAATCAACTTTTCTTGAATTCACAGTAGAAATCAGTAAGTCATTAACACTTTGTAGACATTATTCTAAATCACACTATTTACTATAGCAAATAATGCAAAATTAAAACACTTCATTAGTATGCTTCACAGGATCAAGGGGACAGATATCTAGACAGATATAATTATTATATATTTTTTTTAAATTTATTAATTTTAAAGCCCTGGCCAGTTTGGCTCAGTGGTTAGAGAGTTGGCCTGTGGTCCAGAGAGACCCAGGTTCCGTTCCCGCTAAGGGCATGTACCTCGGTTGCAGTTTGTCCCCAGTACTGGTTGGGTCGTCTGGGTGGGCAGCCACTCGATGTGTCCCTTTCACGTCGATGTTTCTCTCTCTCTCTCCCCCTCCCACTCTATCTGAACAAAAAATGGAAAAATGTCCTCCAGTGAGGATAAAAAATAAATAAATAAATAAATAAATAAATAAATAAATAAATAAATGTTTTGATTTTTAGAGAGGGAAGAAGAAAGGGGGAGAGGGAAAGGAAGAGGAAGAGAAGTAGGGAGGTAAAGAGGAAGAGGGAGAGAGAGAGAAAAACTGATGTGGGAGAGACATATCAATCAGTTGCCTCCCACATGTGCCCCAACTGGGGACGGAAAACTGCAACCGAGGTATATGCCCTTCACTGGAAATCAAACCTGAGACCCTTCAGTGTGGTGGCTGATGCTCTAACCACTGCTCAGGGCTCAATGTATCTGTTTTTATATTGATAGTACTTAAGATTGTTTAAAAAGCAAGTATTATTAATATTAATCACTTCATGTTTTGCCTTTATTCCTAGTGCATGTGTGAAATCATGTAGCTGATTGTTACTGCATCAAAAGATATGAAAGGCCCTTATATTAGGTGGACTTCATGTATATTTACTTTTCCATGGAATTTTAAGGACCCTATAATGTAAAATGTATAAAGAAAAATCTAAATAAAGATGCTTTTTGTGGCTGACTTAAAATATCGATGTAGGCCCTGCCTGGTTTTGCTCAGTGGTTAGAGCATCAGCCCAAGGACCAATGAGTCGCGGGTTCGATTCTGGTCAAGGGTACATACCTCAGTTGTGGTTTGTCTCCAGCCCTGGTTGGAGCTCTGCAGGAGGCAACCAGTTGATATGTCTCTCTCATGTCAATATTTCTCTCTCTCTCCTATCTGCCTCTCTCTCCCTCCCACTCTATCTGAACAAAAATGGAAAAATATCCTTGGGTGAGGATTAAAAAATAAAAATAAAAAGATTGATGTAGGTCACCATAAAGCAGGTGTTCAGGACATCACTCTTCTGCATTAAAGACAGAGGAACATTCTGAATTTATGTCCACACAAAAACCTATATACATGAATGTTTATGGTAGCTTTATTCATAATTGCCAAAACTTGGAACAACCAAGATGTACTTCAGTAGATGACAGGGTACATCACACAATGGAATATTATTCAGCACTAAAAAGAAATGAGTTTACAATCCATGAGAAGACATGGAGGAACCTTAAAATGCATATCACTAAGTGAAAGAAGCCAATCTGAAAAGACTACATACATTGTAAGTGCAACAATATGATGTCCTGGAAAACGCAAGACCATGGAGACAGTGGAAAAGATCAGTAGTTGCCAGCGGTTGATTGGGGGAGGGACGAACAGGTATAGCAAATGGTATTTTTAGGGTAGTGATAATACTCTGCATGATATGCTAATGATGAATATGTGTCATTATACATTTGTCAAAATCCATAGAATGTACACCACCAAAAGTGGACCCTTTGGGTGATTATGATGTGTCAACATAGGTTTATAAATTGTAACAAATGTACCACTCTGATAGGGTGTTGAAATCTCTGTACTTTCATCTCAATTTTGCTGTGAACCTAAAACCTTTGTCATTCATGACCTTACACAGTAATACAAATCATTTTAAAATCATTTAAAAGTTTTCTTGCCCTGGCCAGTTTGGCTCTGCAGTTAGAGCATCGGCCCATGTACCAAAAAGTCTAGGGTTTAATTCCAGTCAAGGGCATGTACCTTGGTTGTGGTTTGGTCCCCAGCCCTGGGGGTCATGCAGGATGCAACCAATGGATGTCTCTCTCTCACATCGATGTTTCTCTTTCTCTCTCTCTCTCCCTCCTTCCCCAACTCCCTCCCTCCTCCTCTATCTGAAGATAAATGGAAAAATATCCTAGGGTGAGAATTAAAAACAAAAAAAAGAAAAAATGTTTTCTTAAAATACTAACACAAGATAAAGAGACTGGATAGCAAACTTACAAGTGAATAAAATATAAAAGTGCTTCACTTCTAAATACCTACCTTCATATGTACATAATCGTACCAGAATATATAGAAAGACAATATATATACACATATTTTAGAATAAAGACTGTGTATTGTTTTAACTATACAGAAGAAAAATATTCTTTCAGATAAAGTATAATTTGGGACCTTTGCAGATTCTACAAATGACAGAAACTGCAGGCAGAATATTCTCAAATTTTTCAGTACACAGAGATTTAAAAGACTCAATGTAGCAAGATGCCTGTCTATGCCCTGCCCACCACACACACAGGCACCACTCCTCAACACCCAGAGCCACACACAAAAGAACTAGGCAGAAACTTAGACTGAAAACAAAACTCCTTATGATTTTTCAGTTATCACGAAACAATTATAAATGAAACAAGCCTGCCATAACAACCTTCCCAATAGGGTTTTCCATCATAAAATGTGATTTGGAGACACTTTACTGATAAAATTAAGATGTCACCTACAGGAAGTCAGGTGAAAACGTAACCAGAGAAAATTCATCTATCAATTTGGGATTTAGAAGACGTTATAAATGTATATGGAATTGAGGGAAATATAAAGGCATGTGTAAAAATCTGATGGTGATTTTTATGAAAATCTTTATTTAACCTGTCATAGTGGATCACATTTTTGTCTGAGAAGCATTCCTGCATCTTGATTAAAAAGGGGAAATAAACAGCTCCTCCCACCGCATACCCAGCATCTGACTTACACTAGGCAAATTTCAATACTTTTACCCACTCTAGGCCAGAGTGAGTTTGTTCAAGAGACAGGACCACGATACAGAAACCTCCCTGGATTTTGGATTTTTCAAACTAATTCCAAAAGAGAGACTTTCATTTTTCTCTTATCTCAGATATATGAGGTCTGAAACACATGTAAGGATGGCTCTCAGTGCTTGGAGTATGCCTATCTGAAAGGATGAAACCAAAATGCAGAAGGTAGCAGAAATAAGAGACACAGTCCTTGATTCCAGTCATTTCTGCTTTTTCACATAGTTTAATTAGTAACTACTAGCAAATTCACATTTTGTAAATTTAAGTTTGTTCAAATTGAGTTTCTGTCACTTGA